TTTTGATAAATATTAATTCTTCCCCCTGGTTTTAAATCTCAACTTTAAAAAAACAAAGCGTTTGCCAGCATTTCGCTGAACAGAGATCTCCCTCACCTGTCGTCCATTTATTTCGCCCATCCCTTATTAACTTGCTTTTCTCAACCTCCTCTTGATAATCAAAAGAGCATTTATAATGGCAGGGACAAATACACTTCTGAAAGTAAAATGAAGAACCTAAATAAAAAATCACAGAACAAGAGGCTCATCCCACTCACTCTTTCATATTTCATTATTTGATAACATCAGAAGATGAGTCCATCAGAGCTGCTTGGGCAAACAGGAGTGTGTCTGATCAATATTTATTAATACTTTCAAAGACAAGGGAGGCAAAGTTGAGCAGACTTCATAATGGAGTGAATAATTACTCATGCAAATAGGGTTTGGCCGAAGGCAATGCCATGCCAAAGCGGCAGGTTTTTAATTGCACCCAATTAAAAATGCATACCTTTCACTCACTCGTACTGTCTCACTTGCTCTCTTTTTTATTTTGTAGGAAATTTTTAATTAAAAAATAATCTGATCATGAAAAGAGTGGCAGATGAATCCTGAGCTTATTAGGTGCCGTTCTTCAGTAAGCCAAGATTTGGTACAGGCTAAAAGGGAAGGCAGCTGTAAGGACCTGGGGTAAAGATGGGCTTGCATTGCTGTTTGTCCAGTGATCAGTCTGGGCTGCAGACAGAGCAGCTTTAGTTCTTGCTCCTTCTTTTAAGGTGCTCTGTCACCTTGGGAAGGTCTATGCTTTGGCGGAAAGACTTGCCATCTCTTAGAGAGATCTCCCCATCCAAGATATCCTCTCTGTCGTTTTGTTGAAAACCCAGCCAGAGCTGGCAAAGGTAAAAATCTCATTTCACGTCTGCTCAGCATAAATCCCCTGAAGGTGATCAATGTTTCCTAAATCTAAGTGTTTACTTTGGCAACCTTACTAGTTTTTTCTACACATTGTGTGTCTAACTGTACTTGAGAGATCGCCAATACTCTCAAAGTTAACCTTATATTAGATTTCTGCCTGCATATTGAAGCATCTTGATAAATACCCAAATCTTCTAAAACATTTGAGGCTGACAGCAGCTTCCAGGCACTCAGTGAATGAGCCACGCATCAAGGTGCCAGACGAATGCTGTAGAGCTGACTGGTAGGTAGCTGCCATTCAAATTTGGGATCTTCATTTCTGCAAGGTGCCAGGTACAACTATTTGATTATGCCAAGTCCAAGCATAAACATTACAGGACTAATTATAGCTAAAGAGGGGAGCTGAAATTAAAACTTGTCCTTAGACCACTGGCCCACAGAGCTTTATCAATCCCTGCCTGTAACTAGGCGTCCCTTTAACTGCTTTAGCTGAGGAATGAGCTGTGCTTTTCTAGCAGGGAGAGAGTTTACATTAGTGCCAGTATTATCAAGGAAGATGAGTCTAAGTCTCTGATGTGCCTCGTGTCGCCTGCCACTGCATTGCTGCTTCTGGAACTGCATGAGATCTGCTATTTTTTGTTCCTTATGTGTCCATCTGCAAGAGGAGCCAAGATTTAACAAATATCCATTAGCATTGCAGGAGGTGGAGTGGAGACACAAGCCTCACCGTGATGTGCTCCTGAGCCACGTCTTGTTTTTCCATACCGAGAGGTTCTCAGGGAGTTCTCTGTGCGTGTCTCAGGAGAGTGCAGGGGCTTTGTCGTTGTCCTGGGGTTTTGTCGTTGGGATTACAGCGTTAGCATCGTTAGCAATTAAACTGCTAAATCTGTTCCTGTGATTGGAGATGAGGTTGGGTTTAGTCTCCCCCTCCCTGAATCCAGTACAGAGAAGTATGCTCCCAGGATTTTGTGGCTTCTGCTATTAATGTTTTATCAAAAGCTACGATTCGATGCTGTGGCTCTGCAGGGGACCAGATCAGCCTTGCAAAATGCTTCTTGTCCGAGCCACGTAGGTATTGTCAGTCCCTGTGTCAAACAGTGGTCTTGTTCAGCGCTATCAGCATCACAGTCTGAGTGAACGAGAGATGTGAACATTGAGAGGAGTATAGCAGTAAATCGTATCGTGTCGTGTGGTGGCACAGTAGCTTCTCGGGGAATATGAACTCTGCCGTTGGGTTCCCTGTCACAGGGACGGGAACTGAAATCAGTAGCTGATGCAGAATGACTCGGTGTTACCCAAACCTGGTGAGTTTGTAGCTGTAGGGATTACCCAAATGCCTTCTGCAAATAGCAGCCAAGAAAGGGGTGTGCACGGTCTCCCCCATCCTTACCTTTCCACCTGCCTTTTGAGCTGCACAAACATCCTCTTTTATCACGTAGTAAGTCAGGGGGATTTGAGGTTCCCTCGAACCCAAAAGTACTTCCAAATAGCTGTTACCAAGCCTGGTCTCAAGTGGTTTGCATGGTTTCCCTTTCTTTTCTAAGGGAAATATTCTCACTGAGACAGTTGTCTGCCCCCTTTACCCCCTGCTTCTAAGGGAGCAATGTGTCCTTGTAGCAGAGCCCACTCTGAAGTCCCCTCAGTCTGTGATGCTGCTGAACTGGTCCCCTGTCAGCTCCAGGAGTCTCATAGCCTGTATCTCAAATGTGTGGACCCTAACAGCTTGATTGTTTTTCCAGCTTATTATTCATCCCCAGAAGCTGTTTTTCATTTGTGTCTTGTGCCTTCTACATGTATCCTCCCCTGCTCACGCACACTCCCTTTTTTTGACTACACAACCCAAATTCTGTCAGTCCTTGTTCTCCGAATCGATGATTTTGGAGTCCTCTCCCTCCAGCCGTGAGCCCTTTCTCCCACCTGATCTCAGCTGGCCCCTGACAGCAGTTGTGTTGGCGCAGACTTTTCAACCACAGGAGCAAATTCTGAGGTCACGGCGGCAGGCGATGTCTTGAAGGAGACGGAGGAGGTAAAAATGCAGAGCTCTGAAGCCCAGTAGCCTGGCGACGCTAGCAGGTGAGGCCTGAGGCACTACAAACGTGTAGTTTTGCTACAGCTACTTACAGTCACGGCTGCGGTGATTTGCAGTCTGGCGGCACGCTGAATGCTCTCTGCAAAGGCACGGCTAAGCCACACCTGAGAGCCTGCAAAGTAAAGAACAAGAGAAATTTAATATGCAGCTTTGCCATGTTTGCCCTGATTGTTATTTTAATGCATTCAAAGAGGAGAGAAAGGGAGGGAGGTGATAACTTTTCCTGGAGCCCCTGCTCTTGGATCTTAAATAATTTATTCCACCAAGACCTAAGGATTAGACTGCAGCCTGCCCTTGTCCTCCTGCGGAGGAGTGGAGGAGTCATGCAGGGACCTCCTCTTCAGCTGCCCTGGCCCATTTCTGCCTTGCTTTGCTCTTCAGCCAAAGAAGTGTCAGGTATTTGGCTGAAACAGATCCTTGCTGCCATGGGATGCCTGCAGACAGACAGGGAACTTTTCACTTACTTTTCCCTGAGCTTTTAACT